ACCCTGTTATAGAGATCTCAGTCGAAGTACCATTCTGATCGCGTAATGCGGCTTTACAAAAATTAAAAATAAACTTAAAACATCTGAATAGATTTGGTTTTTATCATGGCTTTCAGTCCTGCTACTCTCCATCTCATAAAATAAACGATTCAACTATGAAATATTAGAACGTTCTTCTCGGCAACAACAAACTCGGGCAGCATATGGAAAACAAAAGATGAGTGCGATATCGGCTTTTTTAAGTAAAAGTTATCCTAGAAGTCATTTCTCAGGTAACCAGAGTTTTCCAGTGGTTTTGTACTGAATGAAAGGAGCAGTTATTTTATTACAAATGGCATGTAGTCAGACTAAACTACACAGTACGATGCCGTAGTAATGTTGACGATTTCTCTCGGTATTTGCGCCTTCTCTTTGAAATTCTTTACTGAAGAATGTACCCTTATGTGAGACCTTAGATCGTTTTAAAAAATATTGAAAGACATCTTTTTTGACAGGCGTACAATAATTTTTTATGAGCTTTATACAGAATTTAGAACTTTCACAATTTCTTATCGGGGAAATGTGGGGTTGTAAAAAAAAACCTCGAACTTTTTTGTCAACTTCCTTAAGTCGAATTTGCGGAGACTTTTGATTTGACGCTTCTTTATTCACAGAAAATGCTGTGCAATAAATAACCGGATATTTTTTGCTAACAGATTAAGCTTTTATTATTTATACTTTCTTATACTTTCTTTCAGTTTACCTGTAATAAATAATGCAAAGTTTCTTCGTTTTGCATCCCATGATGATTGGCGTAGGATAAATTAGTTACGCAGTTTTTTTCTCATTGTATATCGTGAATGTTGCACTCTTGAGTTCATTAAAAGTTCATGTGCATGCTGAGGAAAAAATTGTCACTAGTGGGATATCTCATGTTATACCTCTGTAATGCATTGTTCAACTAGTATGTTAATGACAAAGTCGCGGCTTCATGTCAAGCAAGTATAGATCCACCATATCAGGTAAACTCTACCTTAAAAACCAGGCCGTACAGATCGAGAACATCTTTTCCAAGAATATTGACTTTGAAATTAGAGGAAGATATGAAACTAGACCTACTGCACTGAGATTTGAAGAACAGTTCCCTGATATATGCCGTGATTGGCACGGTATCTATAAATTGCCTTTTAATGTTCTTATAGACACCAAATCTACACTTTTTGGATTTTGGTAAAGGGAAGAAGATTACTTGTTTATTAATCACATGTTAGTCTTAGCTGAGCAGCATATTTATGAATGTCGTAATAAATGCACTTATCCTTCGTTTACAATTTTTTAAAGTAAAGTCAGTTATGTTCACCAGTTAGAAAAGAAACTTATGAAATCAAATAACAAAGTTGCCGATCAGGAAAGTAAATGGGAAAAGTTTCAGTTATTCTGCTGCGGCAGTGAGAATTAAAATACAAAAAATCGTATTTCTACTTTTGTTATAGTAGTAGTAGTTCCTAAATATTAGTATAGGTAATAGCATGATTTGTAGTGATATTTGGCATAAATACCACGAGTGATATTTCAAAATTGTTATACATAATTGCACGAGCCGTTAGGCGAGTGAAATTTGAGACAATTTTGAAATATCACGAGTGGTATTTATGCCAAATATCACGTACAAATCATGCTATTATTTGTTTATAATACTACCCTTAGAAGGTTTGTAATTTTCACATGTAGGTATTTCAAATTAAGCTGAAATACTACTGCTCTAAGCCAATCAAATTGCAGAAATTTCTCATGTAGTAGTATAATTATTATTATTATTATTATTATTAAAACACAAAACCAAAATAACTTAACAAGGATCAATTAAAGCACGCGACTAATAAACGCTCCCAAAAACTAGACAGACACGGTATACACTTTTAAAAGCTTTATTGAAAACCAATCATGAACATAAAGAGTAAAATACAGAGATTTGAGAGGGATGGAAATTAATCATCTTCTTCGCCCACGGAGTACTTGTAAGGTCTAACTCGAAATTTCTTATGCCGAGTTTGTTTCCTCAGATTGCCATGAGCATTCATGATGATCGTACAGGAGTCAGGAAAGAAGGATTTAAGGGTGGTGGTGGAGTTGAGCTTACTTTTTCAGGTTTTTGTAAGATAGCCGCCTGTTTTAAATCAGGTGTTACGTAGAAGGGGTTAAGAAGAGTAGAGAATGCTGCCGTTGCTGTCGAAGAATCTTGCGTGCTTGATGTTAAGTCTGGAACAGCGCTGATTATTTCTTGCGGTCGTGTTCTTGTATTTAATTGTTCCTTAAAAGCAAGGTATCTGTTTTGCAACTGAAAGTATCGCTTAGCTTTTTCATCGTCCCGAAGATCGTTTCGAGAAAGCACGTCGTCCATGGTGCCCTGTATCTCTGTATCTCTATCCTTGCATAGCTGGAAAAAGCGGGACAGGCGAAAGATTTTGCTGCGTTAGATATTTTAGAAGCTCTTGAGGAATATTTTCTTGAAATCCTGCTTGGTTGAAGCCTTCTTCACTGGGCAGGACGGTTGTTCGCAGTCGACAGTACGGTAGTAGTTTTCAGATCATTCAATCAGCAGATAACCAAAAGGTCTTTTTATAACCTCTTCCTACTGATTTGAAAAGAAATCAGTTTGCCCAGGATACACTTGCTTGGCCAGAGTCAAGATTTACAATTTGTCTCGTGGATTCTTGAATAACACTAAATAATGACTGTTTAGGCTAATGCTGCGACTACCTTTCCCCTGATGGAATAGATTCTGCACGATATAAATCACGCTTAGATTGCGGTTATGAGAACCACGATTAAAGAAGTTCACAATTCGCTTGTCTTTACTGGCGTCAATCATCTTATCATCAAACACGATAAAATTCCGTTTGTTCACATCAAAATAGGAATCCTGCTCCAAACCCGTAGGAATTCCCTTGGCCTTGACGAATTCAATGTGTGGCATGGCGACTAGCATTTTTGTATACGCAGACTGCCATTGTGAATAACACAAAATGATTCTCGCCGGGGAAAGGTAAATTGCCTCTTAAGCTTGCTGTAACAGAGATCAAACCCAGTCATGGAGGTGAAAGAATGCTCGAAGCGAAACTGCTGACATTTTTTTGAAGGCTTTGGAACTGTTTGAAATGGGGTGAGACCAGCATTGCGGTGTTGAAAGGGCGGATGAAGAACCAAGGATTAAAGATGTTTTGAGTAACCTTTCCAATGCGGTGTTTTAAAGAGCGTGCTTCTGATTTGTTGCATTGCATGGCCACTTCCAGAGATGTTCTATTCTGGACTCCCCGCGGACAGTTACCTCGAAATGAACGCATGATTCCCATGACAAACACCGCAGAGCTAGTTGTGTATGTACTATTACCACATAACGATGACGTTACCAAGCCTCGTGCGCTGAATACCTTTTTAGATGGTCTTGCGGAGTTAGGAGTCGATAAGGGCGTAATCAAGAACAAAAAGATCCTAAGTGATTTGATAGAAAAAGAAAACGGCTACCGAAATGGAGAAAATACTTCCGAGAACGAGAGCAATGTAGAAAGTTCATCAGGTAGAGAGCAAGAGGAGATAGCTTCTGCGAATGGCAGTGAAGCTGAAGACACCCAAGAGAGCGACAACGACACTGAAAACAACAGTGAGGAAACAGAAGGTAATAGCCATGAAACGTCCACCACCTTTCACTCTGAAAATCCCTGTGAACATTGTGAGAATTCTAATGTGTATGGGACATTGAAATGACTAAATGCTCTTGGCACGATTCAAACAAGATTTGTCCTATATGTGATCACCAGATCACCGAGGAGAGAAATGACATGAAAGAGGGCTTTCTTCGGTGCCACGACTGTGGAGTAATAACACACAAAAACGCGGAGACGTTGGAAACCATTTTTTATTCCCCCTCTAAAGAGGAGAACGAAGAAGATGATTAATTTCCATCCCTTTCAAATCTCTGTATTTTACTCTTTATGTTGTTGGTTTTCAATAAAGTTTTTAAAATTGTATCTCGTGTCTGTTTTTTTGGGAGCGTTTATTAGTCGCGTGTTTTAATTGATCCTTGTTATGTTATTTTAAAATTGTTTTGTGTTTTTATAATAAGTCAAGGCTGTAGAGCCAATTTGTATGCAAATGACGGCTTGTTAACTCGCATAATTAACCGACTAACGGCGCTCCGCTTTAATATCGGAATTGTTGATGAAAGCCATCGTAACAAAAAAATTATACAACCTCTATTAAATCTTTTAGTTCGATTTTTTCCTCCAAAATTAAGCTACGAAAAGGTTTGACGAAAAGTGGTGGGCTTTTATGTTCAAAGAACAACGGGCTTACTAAACTGTCTGATGGACCTTATGGTGTCGTGACGTCATTAGTAGTATTTTCCTAAACATAGTTAGCATAAATTGAACAAGTTTCCCTCGAATTTTTTCATGAGCTATTTATTAAATTTTGCTGCCCTTTTGCTGCCCAAAAATTCTGCTTATTCTGCTCAGACACCACTACTGACACAGCTCCTTTAATAAACTTTTACGTACTTTTGGGTAACGTTTCTTTCGCCGCTTACTGTATTTATTAATTTTTCATGGAAATAGAAAAGAATGTACTGGGGTGCGTTTTATCAATATGTAATTGTGTGTGTGTGCGATGTATGTATGTTTAGTTTTGTCTTCTTTTTTGTTGTATTTGTTCGTGTTCATAAGTGTCAGTGTGTAAAACATTGTAATACATGAATTTATCGTAAAACAAAATAAAAATTTATTAAAATACAAAAAAAAACTTTCGTGCAATTCCTAGATTAAAACAAAGTCGTGGACAGTTTTTTTGTTCTTCTTGTGCAGATGGTTACAAACCAACAGAGCAAAGAGCGCTAGTTGTTAGGAGCATGATAAAATAGTTTTAATAAATGAATGAAAATTAACTCCGAAATGCCATATTTCTCATAATCGGTTGTCCAAGAATGTGGATATGTCTGTGGTAACAACAGGGCATGTTCTTCTTAGTATCTCAGGTACGTTTTCCATCTCTACGTGAATGAGAACGTCGGTTCAGTGAAGATCGTCGCAGAGAAGCCGATGCTGAATGGTAAGCTCACGATTCCCCTTGAGCCATGTTCTGAGGACAGAAAACATTGGAGGTCTGATCCGTTTTTCATCCACGCTTCGGAGAATGATTCCTTTCGTTATCGTTATGCAGTTAAATACAATAAGGGGCTAATGAAAAGTGTAGCTGAAGCTGTAGCTAATTTCTTTGTCGGAAGAAAAGACGAGAAACCAGTGAAAGAGCTACATACACGCAAGCTTGAAAGAGGGACACATCAATATGACATTTTTCATTACCCCAGTGATCCTTCGTGGAAGCGAACCGTTGTCGTTGGGCAAGTTTTCTTTATCAAAATGTTGTACCGTGAACTCGACAATGGTGGTAATGTGAACGAATTGCTTATTGAATGTGAACACTTGGGATTTGGTCACCCAGGGTATGTCGTTGATGACGTTAAACAACACTTTTTGAAGTGGGTACAGAATGTTGCAGGTACCTGCCCCACTCCTTATCAGGCCGTCTTTCTATGTTCACTTCTTGGCCAGTTAGTAGAACGCGGGCGTAACTGGAAAGCTGGGCACACGTGCTGGTTGCTTGGAGAAGAATGTTGCGATCTGATTTTGTCCTCCTTTGGTCGCTGTCCTTATTCGATTTTGCCTCAAAGCAGTTTAAAGTTTATCAAAGTTGTAGCAGAAGATCTTTTCAAAACTGGCTCTTCGACAGGTTGCTTGCTGTTCATGAAATATTTCTGTAGCCTATTGGATGTCAACTATGTAATGCTGATACTGAATAAACTCTCATCACAGCCGTATACGGGACGCGAGTTCAACCAAGATGTGCCTCTTCTGCTAGAATCCTTGGCGATTTTATCAAACCGTTCCAGCTGTGCGAGATATTTGTCGTTTACCATAGGCTGTTCTCCAACTGTCCATTGCCTTTGGAATCTCTACAACCTTATACCTGGCAGTTTCTCGGACGTGTTAGAGAGCCTTACGAGGGAGGTTTTAAATGTTTACAACAAGTTCATTTCACGCAGTCGGATCAAACCGGATCTTCTTGACCCCGTATTTTGGTCCCTGGTACCAGGAAACTTGAAAGAAAAACTATCCAGTCATTTTTGCAAGGCACTCACTGATCAGATCCTTTCAGAAACGGCTGCATGGTCAAAGGATAGGCTTGCCAGTTTGATGGCCATTGCCACTGACGTACGATTCCATTCATCGGATCAGTTTTATCGCCTCGTTCTAGGCGTCATGACGCACAAGTGTAAAGAAGTGGTGTACATTCTCCCAGATCTTCTGGAGTCAACGGCCTTTCGTTCTTACTGGGAAACAACCATCCCCGAGCTAGACAAAAAAAGAGTTTGCATTCACTGGCTTAAAACTGCTTTTGGAGATGGTACAAACCCCAAAGACAAGATACTTGGTGTTGTGAAAGCATGTGAGTTGCTCTGTTCAACAGATGCAGTAAAACATAACAAAGCACTGTCTGAAGCTATATGCAAGGAGGTTGAAAGTTTGGTGGTCATCAAGACTGATTTTCATTATATCATGAGTGCGTTGCAAGATGGTCAGAGCCTTTGTCCGGCGATATGGCAACGCCTCACTTCGATTTTACGGAGTGCTATGCAACTGCACAATGGCACAGGAGACCGTAAATTGAGATATAGGAAGATGATTCAGATGCTTGGCTTTGATGTTCATAGCCAAAGAAAGAAGAATTTGTTAAAGACAAATCTAAAGAGGTGGGTAACATATCTGTTACGATTACCTATACCTGGACACAGAAACTGTCAAACTATCCTCCTAGCGGACCTTTTTTAAGAATTCACGTGATTTGTTTTGGTTATAGAGCGTTTTCACTCACGTGTTTAGCATCTATGCAAATTTATAAGGACAAAAGAAATTGTTAACATAATAAGAGTCCAACTCCCACAGGATTTGTTTGGAACACCAACATGGCCGCCACTTCATTGTTTTGGAACACCAAAATGGCCGCCGTGACGTCATGTGATCCCTACGTACTCAGACATGGCTATTGAAAGTTTACTCGGTTTGCCAACCTGTAACTTTGTTTTTTGCTTATTATTATTATTATTATTATTACTATTGTTTTGTGTTATTTGACACCGAGCATTGGTTCGCAATGATGCTCATAGGCTCTCGTGGTTCCCTTGAAAAACGTAACCGATTCTAGACCATAGTGGGTAAAATATACACCCATTCAGACAAACACCCATCAAAAACACCCTTTGGGTTGGCACTTAGCACAGACCTAGAGAGCTTATATCGTAGAGTACCGCAGGGGAAAAATAATATCAGCCCTTGCTGCTCTCTGCGCAGCCTACGAACGCAGACGTATTTCCGGTCGTCGCTTCTCTCGTTTACTTTCCGGTTGGAGTGAAGCGATGACCAGAAATACATCTGCGTATGCAGAATACTCCTCGCGCTACTCCCCATAATCTTCGCGCTACTTCTTTGCAACAAGCCTAAGCATGGGTCGATCTTTTAGGACTATGAATTTTTCTTTGTTCTTTGTAATTTGTATTTAGAGTGCTGTTTTTAAAGAGCTCTGTCTCCAGACATTTTAAATTAGATGTTCAATGCGTTTTGCTAAGAATACCTTCCTTTCGGTTTCAAGTCTAAACAAATCGTCAGAGATCAGATCAATAGTTTTAACACGAGTTGCATTATGAATATAACACCGTAAAACGAAACCTTGAAAATTTTAGTTGTCTTTAAACCATTAATTCAAATCGGTTGGAATGGTGATCAGAGACTGCAAGTTAATTTTTTTTTAAATTTAGTCTTTTATTCATATATGTTAGGGCTGAAGAAGAGGTCCTTTTGGTTATGTTAGATGACATTTCGCTACCAGTTCAGCAAGGACACGAGCAGGTCTTTAAAGCTATGATTGCGGACAGTGAAGTTTGGATACCCGTATTAAGCGCACTTCATCCCCTTTGCACACTTACGAAGCATCCAAAGGTTTTAGCGGCAACAATCGCGTTGCAGCAATTAACAGATCCCCTTCGAAGGTCCGCGTTGCCTGTAGCCTTTTTCCTGGGTCTTAGGGATGAGGATCTTTGTCTGCTTGCAAATTACTGTGGTTTGGCCTTTTCGCCAGAGTCGGACGTCGCAGGAAAGATGCAAGATGAGTTGATGATGGACTTCTCTAAAAGTAGGGAAACTGCAAAAACCTTCTGGGAACGATTCTCTAATCTAGAGAAAACAATCAACTTCCTCCAGGCAGTAACCAAAGATTTTGTCGTGATATCTGACGCAAAATCACTGGTCAGTGAAGTCAACAAGCGAAAGGAAGTGAAGGCATCTGCCACTCTTAAGAGTGCTGTCGATGACGCCTTCTGGGGATCATTGCGGTGTTTGATTGACTCTGAAAAATCAATCATTCGCCTCCAAGGATCCATCATATTTGCCAACATTACACGTATGTGTTTGAGAGAGGAGTTTGCAAGAAGTCAGACGCTTAGCGAGGATGTCACCAGTGTTGAAGAAGCCTTGCAAGAATTCCCCCAACGTCCTGCAGCTGAAATATTGCGTCTTATTGGAGGCAAAGGATTACCTAAGTTCAAAGAAGCGTGCACTAATCTGTTCGGTACCTATGAAGATCTGAGTGTTGGGGACGTTAACATGCTCTGTAATGGCATCGCTGATAAAGAGGCTCTACAAAGAGAACTAACGGTGATAAATCCTTGTTTTCCCATTTCTGTTTCTCCCCGAAAGGAGAGGATGCTGCTGAACTACCTTCATTTTCCCCGTGTCAGTGTTAAAGTTGAGCAGCTGATGTCGGTATCTGCAGCTCTTGGTTGTGGATCAGAAAATGGCGATTCAGTGACCCAAGTTCTGAAAGATTTCATCTCTTCCACTCGTACCACAGAAATTAAACTTTCACGTCTTTGTGAAGCTGTTGACAACAAGACAGTAGCCACTGTTGATTGCACGCTTGATGATAATTTGACGATCATCATAAAAACCCTTCAAGAATCTAGTGAGCTGATGTCGTTTATGAAAGAAACAGCTCGTGAAGACATCAGGATACTAATTGATGCTGTTGAGGAACATTCTGATCAGTTTGTTTCTGAAGCTATTGTTTCTGATTTGATTGACGTCCATGGATTTGTACGATCCTTTTTTAAAGAAAAACCTAAAGATCCGTTGATGCTTCTGGATAGCCTTGCCAAATGCTACAGTAAGCTTGAAAAGAAACACGACATGGCAGTTAAGATCAGAGAATGCGGCTGTAATGTCCATAGTTTGCGAGGACTGTATATGAATGTTGCAAATCGTGGAGAGATGACAAAGGAAATTATCAGTAACGCAGTTCAGAAAGGATGTTCCGTTATCAAGGCCAGCTCAAATGGATCATGTGACGTTCAACTTAGCTATCGCCGCCAGAAAGGTGACTCTAAAGAAACAAGCTACAATATGGCAGAGCTTCATGACCTTCGAAGTCGAGCTCTTCTTATTGTGAACACTGACAAAAAGCAAGAAGAGCAGCAACAATCCGAAGACTGTGATGCTACAAGTACTCCCGTGAACGCAATCTTGTCCGTATTTACTCAGCAAGTCGAAATGATTACTGACATCCTAAATATGGTAAACCTGTTGCGAGAATCAGGCCATCCAGACTTCAATGAAAAATTTTGGCGCAAACTAAATTCCTTTGAAGAGACTGAGTCTCTTGCAAATTCCTTGAAAGGAGAGTTGAAGGACTGGAGAGATGTCTTGCGTGTTTTGCAAAAAGAGCATTATTTTTTGAACTTTTTTCATCCTGACCAGCTTTGGATTTTGAAGAAATTCTTGTCTAGACCTTTGGCCAAGGCAGATCTCTCTTTAAGGGAGACAGTACATAGTCTGCTGCGCTTTGTGGATCCAAGTATTCGTCATACGGACCTTCATGGGTTTCACCACCTGTACAAGGCACCCAAAAAGACAACTGGGCACGAAAGTGATCTACGCGCCATTGGAGAAGTTCTGGATGCCATATTCGCCCATCGTCGAACTGCAAAGCCAAAAAGAGCACCCCAGCATAGTCAGCAAAGAGCTGTCAAACCAGGAGAGTTGTTTGTAGCGGTTCTTGAAGAAAACAGTAAGCAAACTGCTCATGTTGTTTTGTCCTTATTCCAACGCACAACGGGGTCGTATCCCCAACCAAGCCAAGTTCTTTTCTGCCATTCCGAGACCAGCTGGGAAGAAGTTGAAAGACTTTTGAAACGCGCGTTTGAAGCTTTTGGACATGGCTCCACAGTCGAGTTACACTGCTTAGCTAACGTAGAAAACCTGTCAAACGACATGCAGTTCGACCTTGTCGACGCCATTAGAGACTACCAGCAAAGAACGGAAGGTCCATATTTACTTAGCATAGTTTGCTGTGGAGGAAATCATCATCACATTGCTGATCGGTTTTCTTCGTCAGCACACAACGATACCGGAATGACTGACGTTGAACTTCGCAACGCATTCCAAAAAGACTTCCCTGACGTTTTCATGGTTACATCAGACCTTCCTGGTGTAGGAAAAACTGAACTCATTCATGAACGTGCTGCCCTACAAGGAAAGAAAGTGGTGACAATTCCAATCAGTGGTCCGTTGTCACGAAAAAACCTAGTAAAGAGGTTGACTGGATTGCAGTGTGCCCCGTACGAGTGCATTCATTTTGATGTCGGTGAAGTTGACGACCCTTTAGCTCTAGACACACTGATGTTTGAGCTTGTTGTAGTTGGCATGGTTTCATGTGGAACAGATATTTTTCACCTTCCAACGAGGCATGTTTACATCGAAATTGCAAATACACTAAGGCACTGGTTGCAAGATTCCCTTCCTGTTACGAAGTGCTTTTTCCCTCTTCGTGTCAAGTGGGATGGATACAAAGACCTTATTGTGAGCCAAGAACCATTAAGCGGCATTCAAGTGGTTTGTCAATACCTCGATGCTTTTGAATCTGGGAAACTGGAAAGCAAGGACCTAAGGCCTGGCTATATGAAGCCCTTGTCTCCAGATCGTTGCAGAAAGCTCCTATCCAAGTATTTCTCATCAAGTGGCGACTTGTCTTATAACATAGTGGAGAGTTTTGTCAAGGTGTTTGCGATTCAGCTTATGCAGTTTTCGGCAAGCCCCTATTTTAAACCCCACAATTTAAGTGCTGTTCTTGGTCCCTCACATGATGTCCGAAACTGCTTATTCAAAGCCCTTTTGGAGGTCTCAAGGGAGTTTGCATCCCGCTCTGTTGTGACATGCAAAACTGTTCAGGCTGAAGCAATCTCGAAAGAAAAAGCAACGGAAGTGCTCCAGAAGATTCAGGTACATTCAAAGAATGTTGCAGTGGAAATGGTTAAACGCGTGCAAGGAATGATACAATGGGCTGACAACAATCACCTTGTGATAGTCTTTCACAGTCTCGAAGCTCTAACTATCTCTGCCTTGTATCGGGATTTGTCATTAGTACCTTCGAATGTCCATGAGCTATTCAAAACGCAAGCAGTGAAGGGTAAAAAAATAGATGATTTCACAAAGATGAATCAAAAACAGCTTCAGAACAGATTAGATCTAATTGTTCGAACAACTCCTAGAGAAAAAGATGACAGTTTGCAGAAAATGGAGTATGCTCTTACGCCTGATAACATTCTTAAAATGGTGTTAATCATTCAGCGCATTAGAGCAGGAATTCCAGTCATTGTCATGGGGGAAACTGGCTGTGGGAAGACTAGTCTTGTTAGGTACCTTGCTAAAACATGTGGAGTTCCATTCCACGTGTTCAATTTCCATGCAGGGATAAGTGAGGAGCAGCTTGTCCGTTTTGTGCATAAAATGGAAAACGAAGCGGAAAGTGCAAAGCAAGTTTGGGTATTTCTTGATGAGATCAACACTTGTGACTATCTTGGTACAATTAATGAGATGATGTGTCACCGTAGTATCAAAGGGAAACCGCTTTTGTCAAACGTAGTGTTTATTGCTGCCTGCAATCCATACCGTCTCCGTCCTACTGGACAAATTACAACCGCTGGATTGTGTGGGAAGACAAATACAGATGAATACTCCAAGCTTGTTTACCGTGTCCACCCATTACCTGAAACAATGATCGACTTCGTTTGGGATTATGGATCACTGAGTAAGACTGATGAAAGTGCCTACATTAGTCGAATGGTGGAGGGATTGACTGGAAATGTTGACAGCTTACTCGTTGATCTTCTATGCACATCCCAGCAGTATATTCGGGAATTTGAAGAAAGCCCTTATTGTGTCAGTTTGCGAGATGTCCACAGATGTATTGTTCTTGTTAGATGGTTTAGGGAAATCCTCCGAAAACGAAATAATTTGTCGTTATCACGATTTAAAGATGGTCGACAATACCAGACTCTTGCCCGGGGAATTCCTCATCGTGAGAGGTCTGTTGTGTTGGCTCTGGCTCACTGTTACCAGTCGCGGCTTCGTACTAAAGAGTCTAGAAAGGAATATCGCAGGCGTCTTGTTGATTGTTTCAAAGAACATCACCTCTCTACATTTGACCAGCGTATTTTAGAAGCCATTGTAAGAGCAGAACAAGACGACTACCTGGAACGAATGGAATTACCAGAGGGAACTGCCAAAAATTCTGCACTTCGCGAGAATGTTTTTGTAATGCTTGTTTGTATACTCAACCACATTCCGGTATTTGTCGTTGGCAAGCCTGGCTGTAGCAAATCTTTGTCGATGCAGGTGATCCGGAGCAACTTAAGAGGGAAGGATGCCAAAGACTCTTTTCTCAAGACACTGCCACAACTTTACGTTGTTTCCCACCAAGGATCAGAATCATCAACATCAGATGGAATACTCAAGGTTTTTGACAAAGCGAAAAGGTACAAGAAACACAACAAATCTGGCGACGTCCTTCCAGTTGTTCTTCTTGACGAAATAGGTCTGGCCGAGGTCTCCAAGTACAACCCTCTCAAAGTACTACACAGCCTTCTGGAACCTGGTGACAGCATATTTCCTGATGTTGCTGTTGTAGGTATCTCAAACTGGGCTTTGGACGCTGCAAAAATGAACCGCGCGATCCATCTTTCTCGGCCTGAACCTGATGTTGACGATTTGTTCGAAACTGGAAAATCGTTACGAGAAGCAGGCAGTGGCAGTAGCAACTATGGGGTGTCTTGCACGCGTTCAGGTCGTCTGTTTGGTCTTGGGGCCTATCCAGATGACACGCAGTTACGTTGCCTTGCTGAAGCTTATCAGAAGTACCAGTTACAGCAAAGATATCCAAATTTTCATGGGCTGCGTGACTATTACAGCTTGATAAAGTGTCTAAGTACAGACCTGAATGGAGAATCAACACCACTGGTTTCTGAGGAGAAAACCAAGGAAATCCAGCGAGCGTTGCAAAGGAATTTTGGTGGCCTACCAAACGACGTGAATAATTTTCAAAGAATTTTTCAAGAAAGGATCCAGCTGCTTCAGGTTATGGATCAAAACTGCCAGTTTCCCGTAACCGACCTCATTTGTGACAATCTACGTGACAAACGTGCCCGTCATCTGATGATAATCACAAACGGAGATTCTGCTATAGGAATCATTGATCAGACTCTCCAAGATCTTGATAAAGAGAAAATCACGATTTTTGGCAGCCGATTTGAGGAAGATCTCGCAGAAGAGTACAATTACCGTATGTTAAGCCGCATCATTCTTTGCATGGAGAGGGACTGTGTTCTAATCTTGCGGGATCTTGAGAGTATCTACGGCAGTCTTTACGACATGCTTAATCAAAACTATACAGTAGTTGGAGGGAAGAGGAACTGCCGTGTCGCCCTTGGAGCTTTCAGCAATCCAATGTGTCAAGTCCATGATGGCTTTCGCTGTGTTGTGTTGATTGATCAAGGAAGAGTTGACTTCACTGATCCTCCTTTTCTTAATCGATTCGAGAAACAGTTGTTTCGTTTTTCAGATGTCCTTAATGAAGAGCAAAGGGAGATTATCAAGATTTTGAAGGAATGGGTGAGACGCATCTCAATGATTCCCGATTTTAAGTCCCACTTCCACGAAGAAGACATGTTTATTGGATTTTGTGATGACACTCTTCCCTCGCTTGTTCTTAAAAACAGCCGAGACCCAAAACTGGAGGGTCATGAAATTGTTGAAGAGTGCAAACGGGATCTCATGATGGTAGCATCTCCTGATGGTGTTGTAAGGAGCCTACAATCTGCCTTGGCTCAGACGAATTTGGGAGAAGTTAAGAAGCTTTACAACGACTATTTCCAGAAGCCCCTGCACAAAGGTTTAAGAGATTACTTGCGACACTCGCTGGAATGTTTAGAACTTGACTGTAATGGTGAAGATGCCACAAAGGGTATGCGACTGGTGATAATGACCCACAGCAACATTCACGTGAATGTATCTCAGTGCCTTGATGGGCTAGTTCAGTGCCAGACAGAGAAACTAAGTGCTTTTAAGTCTGAAAAGCAGTTGACCAAGGAATTGGAACGATTCTGGGGATCCAGCGACTCTCTTTTGGTACTACAATGTAAACCAGAGCTAGATGCTTCGCATGTGCTTCTTGCAAAGTCCATTATTGAGCAGCATAGGGAAACATACGTCAAGCGAACAATTGACAAAAACCAGCGGCAAGTCAAGCATGTTTGTATTGTTATCCATGTTCAGAGAGAAAGTGAGGCCAATAAGGCTGAGAATCAGCGCTGGCAATTCAGTTTTCAAAGCGGATGGAAGCAAGTGACGATCGATGTATTGGAAGACACAGTTTTGCCAGTAACGGAGTTTTTAGACGTCAGTGTCATGGAGTTGTTAGAGTCAAAGGCGCTCTCATTTGATGAAGTGGCCTCAGAACAATTCCTTTGGTGCTTTTTCTGCATCAAATATCCCTCCTCTGTTCAGCCTCCATTGGACGACATTCTTCAGCTGGAAGGTCTTTTGAGGTCATCGCCCAAGATCCTGGCATGTTTTAAGGAGCTAGTGAATCGTTGGTTGGCAAAAAGAGTTGATTTCGATTCACATGAAGAAGATCGTCCAAGTTGGCAGTACTTTGTGGCATGTGATCGACAGGCCTTAATTAACTCATTGCATTTAGTGGGAGCTATTCAACACCATGTAAGCCATCTCACACGTCAACCACTTGCAAAGATTGTGTACTTCTTGGAGAAGGAGTCTGCTTGGCCTTGGTTTCTGTTACAACAGGACACTTTTCACGAGGACGAACTTCAAGTCTGGCTGCAACTGATCATGGATAGCAACATTCTTAACATCGATGATATCCCTGATCACCAAGGGGCAGAGTCCTACTTCATTTCTGAGCGGCCTGTGAAGCTGAAATTCCCTTATTTCTCCGTATTCTACAAAAACGTAGAACACGTGCAATCTATTTTTGTTGAAGACCAAAGGCAACTTCTCTTGGACAGAACTAACCTAAACGAGAATGATGAGTTGAGCGATGCTGTAGAAGGGGCTCAACTACATCGATTTGCTTCCGTTGTAAAGGAGAAAGTCCCTCAAGTATTTGAGCTGGACTATCTGCGAAGTCGCATTGAATGCTACGTTGAGGATTTTCTCGACATGAAATCAGCTCACTTTTCGGATCTTTTAACCCGAGAGGAAAGAATTGACTTCTTAAAGTCTGCAATGGCAAATCACCTAAAGTTTTCCGTTAACGGCGACCCCGCTCTCCTGATTACTCAGTTGCATTCGCTATTCTGGCAGAACGAACCTTCCTATGTGGCAGCCCTTCAGGTGTTCGTGACGTGTTACAAGAGCGCGAATGTAGACTTCGGGCCGCTAGTCTCTGAGTTTACGCCTTTGTTTGAGAAAATGCTGTTTCAGGATAACAATGCAGGAAAAAAAGCATCCTCTGAAGATTCTCAAGAACTTGAAAGAAGTCATTCTTTTGATGAACATCACGCTGAAGATGTGTGTACGATGGTGGATGGCTACGAAGTCGATGCAGGGGAGGTCGGCAGTGAAACATTTACCACGGAGAAGGAAGGGAGACTTCGAAAAGAGCAAAACGATGACGAAATGAAGGTAGTGGAAGATATCGGCTCACAGATTGAGGAAGGAAAGGAAGACGCCATTTTAACTGAAAATCAAGGGGTTCAGGAGCCTAAAGACGAAGATGCAACACAGACAACGGGGCGAAATGATTCCTTGAAAGAGGACAGTGAAAGTGACGTTTGTGAACATGAAAGTGTGGGTGGTGAAAATGACGTGACTGTTGAACACGAAGGGAACACCGAATTGGAATTAAAACAAGCTGTAGAAGGAAATGAGCAGAATGATAATAACAGCAATATGACAAAAGATGATGCCCCAAGTTGGCGTGGAAAACAAGAAAATCCTGTCGATGATAGTAAGGTAGACAAGAATGATAAAACAAGCGAAGAGGGAATCAGTGAACCACCCATCACGGAGAACCTAGAGGAAAATGCATCAAACAATGACGAATTGGAGGAGGATGGCATAGGCACGATTACAGACGACAGTGGTGTCGAAGGAAGCATGAACTTCAGCGAAGTATTATTAGAGACGCTCTGTTCCGCGTTACTTCCAACGGACGAAATTGTGAAGAATTTAAAAGGCCCTGAAGGGTGGCAACGAACAGCAAGTCTCTTTCTGTCAACAGCGAGCAGACTGCAAGTTCAGATTCCTGCATTTCATTACCTTCGTGTCTGTCACGATTTTGTCACACTTTTGGTATTACCAGAGAGTCTTGAACCATATTCCCTTTATATGCTTGGCGCACTTGGAAAAACGGGGGCCTCTGAAGGCTACCTCGATTCCCCAGACACTTTTTATCGTATTTCCAACGTCATTGATGAGTTGGAACAACGAGGCGTTGAAAAGAGACGGCTGGAAGACTTTCTGATGCTCTTCTATGGACGTTGCATTGATTCAAATCAAGACACACCAGCACTTGGTGTCATACTGGAAAAGATCAGTTTCAGTGGAGAGAAAACACTTCTACGGCTTGCTGGACCGTTGCTGCACCGTATTTTTCTCACAGAAGAAAACGTTAGGCCTGGTGTCTTCGAAGATCTCTTGCACAGCTTGGACTTCATCAACGAACATCCAGGCCTTCAAGAGACAAGTGCTGCTTTGTCAACACTATCCGATGATGTTGAGTTGGACTCCCCTTTCGCCGTGGTGTGCTGTGATCTTATTAGTGAGGTGGCGTTCCCTGATGCAGACCTATCCATGTTATCGCACTCAGAGGATCAAATTCTCGTGAATTTTCGCAAGGCCTTTCAAACCTTAACAGAACCATGCGAAGACACTGAAAACGGATTGTTCCATCTTATTTGTGCCACAGCTTATTTGAGGTCATTCCTGGCATCATTTGCGAGGTTTATTTTGGAAAGACGCCAGTGCCTTACTGAGGACGGGGAGTTTACAGTCCTTTTAAATGAAATAAATGGAGCCCTTTCCTGCAATCAAACAGATCTTGTCTCTTCGAGGACGGCAGAGTTGAAACTGTACTTTATTAAAGAATTGAAGAAAGAGCTCTACATGTGGGAGGTGCGTGAAGTCTGCCAACGTAGCCCGAAACTTTCAGCGTTGAAGAATTTAGATTGGCTTGATGAAGACCTGGTGGACAAACTTAGTTTTTACCCTCTGCGAAACTATTCAGAGAATTCCCAAGCACAAGCAGCATTAGCAACTCTTCTCGAAAAGAACGACCTCAAGCCCCTTGAAGACACCATTCTTGCTATGTCAAGTTCTGCAGAAAAGAGAATTGAGATGGCTGCCACCCTTGCTAAGTCGTTTTACCTTGTTCGTTCTACACGACGTCTAAAGGACAGTGAGGACAAAGCAATAGACTCCTTTATAGGGATGTTTGGGAAGTTTGAAAATCCCTATGTCCAGCTCCTCCTGAGAATTACGGGAAGGAAGGATTTCAAAAGTAAAAAACTTTGTATTTCTTCAGAATCTTCATCAGCTGATGTGCATAGGGCGACTCTAATCCTACATCTTTGCATAGTTCTAGCCTCTCATTTCAGTGGTCCTAAACAGAAAAAGCTGGCATTTATGTCATACCTTACGAGTCCTTTGGCCTCAAGCAATACATACGTCCTGGCGTCTGGAAAGGGTTGTCAGCAGCCATATGAGGTAGACCGCAATTACAGCTTCGATGAAACATCGTTTTCCCTTTGCTCCTGTAGAACATTCTTTGTTGCCGCAAGTGATGATGATGGTGATGAAATAAAGTGTCCCAACTGCCGTTCACTTTGCAAAGCTGAGAAAGTACCTAGCAAGAAGACTGCAGCTGTTGAAGCTATACAACAATCTAAAGTTCCTGTCTGTCTCACATGTCCTCAAGATCAATCAATTCACGTACGGCAAATGGATCCAAGAGAATTCCGAGTTCTCCACTTGTTTGTTCATGCAGCACTTTACGGAGGCTACGCGATGGAGTTGTTCGATGAAAATAGTCTGACCCATATACTTGGTAATGCTGTTACGGAGAGTGATCCTTGCGAAGTGTGCTTCCAACAGATTGATAACGACCTAAGAGCGTTATGTTCTCTTTTAGACGCCAAGGAAGAATACGTCATCGGTTTTTTGCACTGTGCTTTGCTCAAAAGTATTTCCATCCTTACTTCGGGAAGTCTATGTCAAACAGAAGGAGAAAGGTTGGCATGGGAAAACACGTTCGCTGAAACCGTGCGCCCTCTACTCCGAGAGTTTTACCCAAGAAAACTTTTGGCAAGTTTGCAAGACTTCATGAGCAAGTCTACAGTGGCTGTTCAAAGGAGGATAGAGGAAATTGATGACCCTCAGTTCCCAAACACGGCAGAGAGAAACCTGCACCTTCCTAGATTGCTGCGTGTCACGCTGCCTAAAACGTTTTCGTCCCTTAAAGCGTATTATATGTCAGCTGATCACAATACTAAGAACCACCATCCTCTTCTTGGGTTATTCCTTGATTTTAACGACTCTCTTCCTAACGTCGCAAGCCTCCACGATCTCCTTTCCTGGAGTCGTATCGTAGACTCACTTTTAAGTAGACGTCTGAGTCGCCACGAAGCCACTACAAATATAGAAGATATCATTCGAAAAGAATCCAAATCTGTTGAGGAGAGAAGGCGATTAACTGAGATCTTCGAGAAGTTCAGCATGGCGTGGGAGAAGATGCGTCCTTTTGTCATGGACCGTTTAAAGCAGGATGTGCCATACCTGAGCGAAGGCTCACCGATTTCATTTTGCTTGATTAAGAAAAGAGGCCAGGGTGCCTGTCTTTGTGCTGCTATGGAAATACTACGGGAGATCCAGAATGATTTCTTGCAGAAGATGCTCAGTATTGCATCAACAGGAAAATGTTCTGCGCTAGTCTTCCTGGAGAGAGAAAAAGGAAAATTCACTATTCCAGTCGTCCACTTGCAGGATGCTCGGGAGAAAGAAATTATCCAATATCAATGGACAGATGAAATTTTAAGGCATTCTCAACGTAACACCGAGTACGGCCATGGCAGGGAGATCTTTTTTGATCTTGCAAAGATTGAAAAAGAGATGGCAGCCAGATTCTTGGTGGGAAAGTCTTACCTTTCAACTCTAGAGGGATTACAGGAGTTCATTTTCGCCCGAGAGCTCTTTCATACTTGTAGAGGTATTCTGGACGACTTACAAGAGCTGATTCCGCAGCAACCACTCACAGAAGTGTTTCAAAGTAGTCTGTCCCGTCAGTGTGAGAGTCTGAAGAACGTACAAGATTTGCTTGAGCACATGGAAATTGTCCTTTGCCTGTTAAAAAGACATCGCGTTGGAAAACCAGAGGACCCTTTAACAGAATTCACAGCCAACTGGCTGCGTGGACCAAGGCCGTTTCCAAAGAATTTGCTTCCTCAGCCCCACCGCGCCATCCAGCTCAGACATGTAGTTGCCTTGTACGAGTTTCTCGAAGACAGGTTGGCTGAATCGGCTGCCAAACGAGTTCACGACATGTATCGTGTTCCCATACTTGAAGAGACAATTAAGGAAATGACCAAGGGAATCTCTGCATCTGGAACAACCGAGTCACATCGTTCTGTTCTAAATGCCATCACAGTAGCACTCAAACGCTTCATTTACCGTTATCTTTCTTCTGAGGAGATGAAACCTGAACCAGCTGACAGTCTGAAGGAGCGCATGCAGGAGCGGTCGCTTTGGCCAATCGATGCATTCCATTCGTGGAACCCGAAAGTGGAATCTGCGTCAAAATTCATCGGTGACGTGTTTCCCGAGAAGCTGGCCATTAAACACACGTACGAAGTTTTACGCTTTTACCAGGACCGACTTAAAGTAAGTGATAAAAATATACTTGCCATTAATTTTGCAATAATTTTCTCCTCAACACAATTTAAAGCTGGAATTCTCTGAAAAATCCCCCCCGCCCAAAAGGAACTTTAACTCTTACATATCCTGCCTTTTCGACTGCTGAAACCCTAGTTTCTTTTAACCTTGACAATAATGTCAAAAAGATTATTATTCTGTTCGGTGACATGTAGTATCATGCGACGTTTTGTCGACTGTGAACCCTCCACCCCACCCCCGCTTCTCCTTCCAGGAGTATAGGTTAACAAAGGGACAAACGCTTTGTCTATTGGCAATCTTTGTCTATTTGAACGATTCTGGGCCAGTTAATTAAACGGAGTTTAGCCTGTGTTTAACAAAACCGCGTTCTAAGCTATTTTCAGTTTGCCCAACGCTTTTATCTGAACATAATTTATCGTGAACAATATCAATACCATCTTTCTTTATTTATCAATATCAATATAGCATATAGCATTGACTGCAAAAGCACTTATTTTCATAAATTAACCCACTAAGAAAGAGATCTGCAGGTCCAATGATTTATTAAACCGCGGCCTAAGTTGGACTTCTTATAAATAACCGACCCTCTGTATCTTAAACTACACGTGACTTTGCCTTTCGCAACACGTCATAAACAAATTCGACGCAGCTAATCCGAAGAAGCACCTTACTAACCGCTCTTAAATTGAAATTTGACATTTAAAACTGAAATCTGGCCATACAGTACTTTTGGGTCTGATGATCGCCTAGTACTTGAAACCCGTGTTACAACAATTTTTTCCCTTAAATTTGTATTGTATAGACATGTATGTTCTATATGTTCTGTTCTTCACTTTGTTACATGTCAGATGTTAGAAGAGGCAAAAAAAGTTCCTCGGAATCCAGCTCCCAAGATCAGCCGTCCCAGTGTTTCAAGGTCCCGTCAGCTTAAAACGCAAAAGCTCTTCAGCAACTTCTGAGGAGGACAGTAAATACTCTGTGGCTGTTATACACAGAATTCCACCAAGGCAATGAATCGAACATTCTGGGGTGAATCTGGGGATAGGGAGGCGAACACGACCAGGAAGGAGGGGACATCTTCAAGGAAATCACTCTCTCCTAAACGCAACCCTCTCGTCTAGCTGGGCCTTTGTGAGAATGCGAAAAATAAAGACTTTTTGGGTGCTTATTCGAATTTTTACTGTAATAGGAATAGTAAGGGTTGTTTTTCACAAACACGTTTTGCTTTTTTAAATCGGGTAGCAACTGATCAGCTTCTGTCTGATTCATTAACTCATTATTTTAGGGAGAGGGTCCTATTATTGTTTTAGTAAAACAAGTACGATCCTTTTTGCTCACACTTTCCACATGCAAATCTGATTAGATCTTTCAGACGTGATCTTTTCCTCTTTTTTATCCCCCGCGTCGCAGCCGTTATTTAACCTCTGTTAGTAACGTCTGCGAAGCAGTGCCGAGATTCTTGTTCTGGTACCCAACTCAACGAATTACCGGAAATGCGTTTCGAATTTCCTTTCAGCCTGATTGGCAATTTCAGCAGGCTAATTACGAATTGCGAAGGGTACTCAAATCTCTGTACAAAGGCTGGAGCCTAGATTGAGGAATTCGGCGCTGTTTTGCAGACGAACTTACCCGGAGTTTAGTTTCGTCTGTGGCGCAGGCTACTCTTTTCCCGATCTTGAAGAATCAATGGTTCGGTGAGATCACTGCAGTTGTATTATCTCGATCCCCGTATAGTTGGAAATTATAAAACTGTCATTTCGTGTACAACAACCTCGTCCCTAGGGCTTTTTTCGCCTCTCCCATTTTTTTAGGGAAAAGCCCTGGGAACGAGGTTGCGTGTACAAGTGAATATTTTAGAAGACTGGGGGAAGAGATCCCTTACTGGTGTGATCGCGCAAAGCATTGTTTAGGAAAAAGTAGCATTAAGAACTAGATTTCGTAATGGCAAATCAATAGTTTGAAGAGTTCAAAAGCATTTAAGGAACAAAATATAGTCTTACCATAGCAGAGGAGAATGGTTATGAGAGACGTAAAATATCAAAGATAAAAACATCAGTGCTGCAGTTTATGTTGGGAGCTTCCTGACGGTGCACAATCCTTTGTTGTTTGTTCACAAATTGTGACGGAACAAATTATTGCCACGTCTTTATTTGTCAACAAGATCAAAATGATAGGAATGCTACTGAACGTTTTGCACCGTCAGGTCCACCACAAAAATTTTTAACAAAGGGGGTTTGGTGGTCTTTATAACCATTCCACTCTTCTAACAAAGGTTTTACCGATAATACTTTAGGGTTTTACAAGCTATGTAAACGGCGTTAACTTTAACAGTCATTTCCACGTCCAACAGGTATTAGGGACCTTAAGCAACGACGACGACGGCAGTGAAAACATCCCTAAAAACTTAAATTTGCGTCCTTTCAAACTTTATCGCGTCTGTTTGGAACCGCTCGATTCGTCAAATGTAGGCTCCTTTTTCTGAAGTTGAATTCTTAAGGGCTTTATCCATGTTCAAACAGAGAAAGAAAAATTTGTCGTAGTATGTTCACCTCCTCCATAAAACGTCACATTGGCAGGTTTCACGCTGTAGTCGGGCAGTAGACGTCAACGAAATGTACTAAAAAAGCGTGATGCACGCGCAGAGCAGTTGTTTTTCTCATAAAACTGAATGTTCTTTGACGTTGTTGATGATGTTGTTGTCGTCGTCGTCGTCGTACGATATACGCCAAAAATATATACGTTACTGTTAATCATTAGGTGAAATTTTAGTGTTAGCCTTACGTTAATTTTTGAGCATTTGCAAATCCTACGTTATGGTTGGCTTTGCGCCTTATTCCAGAATGGTGGCAAATCATTCTTTTGTTTTCATTTTCGTTTATCCTCGGACGGTGCCTAGTTTCAGGGTAAGGTTCTTTTGAATCTGGCAGATCATTTTGGATTAAGGTGTATGCATTGGCCTTCCCAGCGTTATCCTCAACATTTGTTAGATATGCAGTTAAAACTAAAAGTTGAGTATAAAATCTTGATTAAACGATGTAGTCCAGTTGAGTGAGGTGGTGGAGAATTTTTGTCTGGACAGATTTAGTTTAGTTGACCACAGAAGCGAGCCGCTTTGCGGACTCCAACCTTTGGCGCCGTTGTACATAGATTCTTATCTCGGCAAATGAGGCTTCCTCCTTGCCTTCCTCCTTTCGTCCTTTAAATGCTTGAAAAACGAAATTGGCAGTTATCCTGCTGATATGCGAATCAGTATTGTTGAAAAGAAAACAGACTAACTGTATTTCGTTCATTACTTTTAATACAAAGAGTCCTTCTCATGATCATATAGGTTACAGTGAAATGATGCGTGCATTTCATTTTCAACTGAATACCATCTCTAGCATTAGTTTTCTTCACTTTACCCGATAGTCATTTTGTCTTTAGGTGAAAAAATCAAATTATGGTAATTACGTTTATTAACAAAACGCCCGTATAACACAGCGCAAACTAACGAAATAATGAAACCAACAAATTTTAGGGTTCACTTCGAGAGCAGGATGCCCTTGCTGCACATAAACACCTCAATTTGTCACTGATTTATGAATAGGCTTTAACCTCAAAACGCTATTTGAAAAACGTGGCCAACTCCCAGTCCTGAACTCGCATTGGTCACGTCGTCAGAAATCGTACTTCTCATCTGGTTTCTTGTCAAAATACGACAATTGTCCTGATTCGGTCCCCTTTCTAATGTCCATTTTCGTCTCCGGTTGTTAACTAAGTCCATAAAGAACGACAACTGTGTAAAGTTTTACTCAGCAAAACTCTTCAGATTTTCAATATATAACCAAAACTTCTTTGGGTGTTGATTTTCTTTTCTTTCTTTAAATCTACATTTTTTTATCTTGCGCAACCAAAAGCTAGCGATAATCTCAAAGCTATGTGACGGAAGGTTTTTCCACTCTGAAACGAATTTAAGGCTCAACGGGAACTCGGTGCTTGACTCACGATAAAACTGGGGAAAACTAGACTCAAATGGCAACTCGCTTGCGGGGAAGAGCCGTCACTTCTCTCGAGGTCCGGGATCAGACCACTAACTGGTACAGCAGTAGATAAAACAGACTAAACTTGGTTCCAACAGCGTTTATTCTTCAGCGGATCAAACAGCAATAACTCGGCTAGGACACGGCGAAATAATCGGCGATGTAATCGACGATGTAATCAGCAATGTAATCGAAAAATCAGTAAAACTAACTTACTTATATATGATTTTTACAACCATTGAAGACAAAAGAATACAATAGAAATATAAACAGAAATCACTTAGAGTTAAATGGAAACTAAATACAAATTCTATTTTTAACCTGAAATCTTTTGTTACTGTTGCTATTTTAGAAAGTAAAAGTACTGAAACAAAGACCTAGCCAGGTCAGCAAAACAGCGCGTATGTACAAAGTGTTACAATATGAATAAAATTGCAAGTCCAGCTATCGGCTGTTTAAACAGGAAAAGCGCAGACTAATTAGAAGTTTTCACCTTAAACAAAAACCGATCTACTTTTAAAATTACAAGACAGCAAAACCTTTCATATTCAAAATTCGGTTATCACCTCTCCTTAACTAACAATTTAATGAAATATACTTTCGCAAATAAATATAACTAAGTTGCAATTAGAACGAGGTACACCTGCACGAAAGGCATTTCTATGAATAAATGTCGTCCGGTAGTAAAATCACGAAAAATAGACTAAAGTCAAATAAACCATTATAAAGAAATTAAGTATTCTTTCAAGAGTCAACATTGACGTAAAATGTATATAATTGAAAAGAGAACGAGCAATTAGTTTTGTTTGTTAGGGAACACTGTTGGCTTTTCTATGATTATAACCTGGCGAACACAAAGCAAATGAACAAAGGATAATAAAAATGGCACGAGCCTTTTTGCGGAGTTAAAACCTCTTTATGCAAATTCAGTATGAATTACTAAAACATCGTCAAAGCGAATATTTGAAAGCTATATGT